GCGGCAGCATTGCCAAGTCAAACAGCGGGGTCTATTTTTGGACAAATGTCGGGAAGACAACCACCGCCCCCTCCCACCCTCCTAATTCCCTGGAGACTCTTATTGAGGGGAGACAGGAGGCTCTGGGGCCTGGAGGGGCGAATACAGTAGGTGGTGCATGTGGGTGCATGGAGACGGAGGCGGGCGCACGGTAACGGACAGTAGCAAACTTTATTCAGAGGAGTGAATGATGAACTAAAGACGAGGAGGGGACACCTCCCACCATTACACACTCACCCCCTGTGTCCGAGAGGAAATAAGACAGGATGGAAGGAAAAAGGAGGGAGTGGGGGATGCGGGGGGAGGACGGGAGGTGGTAGCTGGTAGCAGCAGGCCTCTGCCACTGGGATTGTCCCTCTGGTAATCCCTGGATTTCCTAGGTTGAGACAGGGGGGTAGAGACCGGGCACGGTGAGAGACTTAGCGAGACAGAGAACCATGGAAGACAGAAAGGAAGCAGGAAGAGAAAGAAACACCGAGACAAAGGACAAGCGATATAAACAATATCGACGCCGTCTGACTTCTGAGTTCTCTCTCCGTCATGTGGTTTGCGTACATGTTATTGCTCACAGGGGAATTGGGTCGCGTACGAGTATCAGCCTGCGTGCTTATTGGCGGTTGTATATGTAAGTGTGCACGCATGTCTATGGGTATTGGGGTTTATTTACAGGGACACATCTGTCCTGCCGTAGCTCATGCCAGATGTGGCTGGTTGAACGTGGTGCTACCAAACGATACAACGATACATGCAGACAGGTTCTGTTAAACTATTTTAGACACGCTCTGGCGATGGAGGCCCCCCCTGAGGCATTCGAGGCAGATTACACAATTCCCTCGGAGACAAATGAGAACGAGCAAGCTGCTGATAAAAACTGTACGAGACAACCGGGGAAGCTATGAGAGACTGTCCAGATACTTTGATGTGGTCTTGTGTCACAACGACTTTCTCGAGTAATGTGTTCAAGGTGCTTTTTCAGAGCTCGCATGAACTAAAAGGTCAGACAACGTCAGCTTTTTAAAATACCGCTGCCACTGCTACACGCACATTGGAGCACAGGTTAAACGAAAGTGGAAACATTTCTTCCTGAAGTCTCTTAGTGAACGGGGGGGAAATTGGTATCTGGGCTTTTCTGGGGAACGCGGACTTCTCCTTTTCTTTGGTTGCCCTGGATGTTATTTCAACTCCCTTTCTCCCTTCCACCAGTCACCCCGGGGTGCTGTGAACCCAATCCCGTCTTACCGTCTGTAGCCCAGGGGGGGGGGGGAAGCTGACTCGGCCCCACGGGAACCTAGCGGTGCGTGTCCTGGGTCAGGAGGTCTAGATCTTCTCTTTTTTCAGCCGATGAAACCCAAGCGGCTCTCGGGGAGACGGGAGCAGTCGAGGGGAACGCACAGGCCACAAACAGTTTGTACTGTTTTTTCTTTATCGGCGGGCTGATTGGGTGACCGGAGATAATTCTATCCATGTATTAAATGTTCCAAACAGGGGATTCAGTGCACCAATATAGCAGTAAACAGCTCTTTGCAAAGATATACTGTAGTACTATACATGTGTGCTGTTATCTGAGCCTCTCTGTGGCTTCTTTAGATAGGCGGGCCCGGCCACGTAACATGTACATATCTCTGATGTCACAACTGTGCATACGTAAATAAGAGGTATGGAGCATTTCTATTGAACTAAAACAGCTCTCAACACGGCAACAGCGGGCCGGCGCAAGTTTAAAGAGGGAAAATCCCATTTTAGTAGAACTGCTCACAACCTTTAGAGTCTTAAATAGTCACTGCATCATTTTCTATTTAAAAGGTCAAGGACCAGAAAGGCTGCCAACCGTCGCTGTAATGCAACTCAAAGTGTGACGATGACAGAAGCAGGGATTTATTACCTGTCCTGCGTGACACATAACACCCGAGAGGACTGGAGTTGGCTCAGCAGAACAAGGAGAAGAATAGATCTACTGAGAGAAGCAGTTCGGGCAAAGAGGGAGATGTGCGAAGGAACGAACCTTCTCAGATCTCCCGCCCGACGCTGGCACACACCGTCAGGCTTTCAAGCACCTGACTGCCTGAGTGGTAATACCAGGTGCCCACGCCAAGCCCGTATACCAACCCTCCGCGGTGCAGACGTGGAGGAATCACCTCCATCTGTACAGCACATGGTCCTCTCGTAGAGAACAAGGCTTTGTTTGTCCTCTCCCATTCTTTCACACCTCTCCTGCTTTTGTTCTCTGCTCCTGCTCTCATTCATTCCTTCCTTTCTTCCTCCGTCAGTGTGCAGGATTGTGTTATTGTGTCTCATTGTTTTGAATATTTAAAAAGGGGGGGGCTTGGGGAAAATGGAAACGAAGGGAGGAGAACAGATGGAAGTTTGAAGGTTGATGGTTGTGAATGATGAGTTCTCCTCATTTGCTTTACAGGCTCCTACAGCTGTGAAGGGAAATATTTTATAAATAATATTTTCTCCACTTCAGTGCAATTCGGCGCTTCCCTTTACTCTCTCTCCACCACTCAGATTCTCCGATTCAGATTGCGGAGGTGTAATAGGGGAGTGATGTAGTCGTCAAGGCTCCCTCCTCTGCAGCCTCCTTGTCATCGGCATGTACTCATGCTTCAGACCCCTTAAACCTTCAAAAATATGACACTTTTGCAAGCAAACAGCCAGGATTTAACGCACTTAGAGGTTGATTCCTGCAATGCACACACATGCTGATGAAGTCAATTTTCTGAAACATGATCTGATTTCTTTGTTTTTTTTCTATGTGTGTTCTGCCCTTCCCCTTTTTTCTGTTCTCTTCCCACACATGCACGCTAATGAATTTTTGGAGCGCTGGGCTCGGATAGCAGGTTCCAAAACCCTCCGTGTGCTCTGTTCTTATAAAGCTTTTCATTTAATTACAATGGGAGTTTCTCACGCACGCATTAAAGAAAACAGAGGGGAGAGTCCTGCAGTAGTAGCCTACGTGGTAAGAGAAGTCAATGTTAGTTACTTTGAAAAGGCCTGGCTGTAAAAGAGCTCTGTCTCTGAGTGAGTGGACCACTTCAGCACGAGAACACCCACTCCGTCAGCCAACACGTGCGTGTGTACACACACACACACACACACACATTGACACGTATGCGTATAGTTGCGAGGAGTGTTTGCATTTGTCCTTTCTCTCCCCTTCGGCCTCTCCCGCAGTGATTGACGTGCTCTTTCATTCGGCCCGGCACAAACTCAGGCGCCATGGTTACAGCTGCAGAGATGTTCTTTCCCCCGGGAGACGGACAATATTGAAATAACAACTCCCCTAACAACACAATCAAGCTGACACACAACCCTCCGCTCTTACCCGGCGCCCTGCGCTGCGCCCTCTCGTCTGTCATGTCTGGTGCCGTTAGCCGTGTTAAAGGGAACCGGGAGAAGCACAAACATCCTGGCAGGTGTGTGTGTGCTCGGCCAGCTCCTGCTCCTCGACTCTGGCCAGGGGGTCCGTGTTTTCATTTGGGGGAGAAAAAAAACCCTGGAGACATAAGGGCCGAAAGCCCTGTGGGTCGAGGACCCGGGGCGGTGGCAACTCATTGGAACAGAATCAGCATCCGCGGAGGCAGAATTAGCTACTGTAGCTCGTCAGACTGCGTGTTGGCTAAAAAACAAAAGGAGGTACAGTGTTGTAACTCCCGCAGCAGCGTGGCTTCTGGGTTTGGTAAATGGTCACAGATTTGATCACCAACATTTGAGCAGAGCAGAAAGACGAATGAATAAATGCAATCGGGTTTTTGGTCGTACAGCGGGAGGGAGGAGCCGGCAGAGAGACGACAAGAGATGATGAGAGTTAAAAGAGTTCAGCGTGCCGTTAGCTCATCCGTTGTCTCTTTGTATTATGGGAGAAAACAGCGCCCCAAAGCCACAGCCGAGTGAACAAGAGCGGCCAGCGAACACAATGACCCCAGAGAGACGGAGTCACAGGCTCGAGCTTGGAGTCGTGATTATCCCAGCGAAAGGGTTACCTGGAGTTGAAACCTTCCATATGCACGATATGAGCATTTATGATTAAGAAAACATAACATGATTGTGTGAATTACGAGCCGGACTCTTGACATCGGGCTCAATCAGTCGTGCAGCTGTATCGGCCTTAAGCCGCTCCACAAATCATCCGGGCCCGGATGCTGACGTTCTCCCTGTAGTATTTCCCGACGCGCCGGTCGGGTTTCTCGGTAATTAGGATCATAGACGCGGAATCTTTCGGGTGTTTTCTGAAGACCCGACGAGCCGAGCCCACTTCTGCTAATCAAGTCGACGCAAACCGTCCCACCGGGCGCAGTGCAGAGCTGCGTGAAAATCCATTTTTTGCACGGAAAGAAGAAACATCTCCTGTGAGAGAGCTTAACGGTGATTGACAAGCCGGCCCCGCTCGCCAGGCCAGTCAGAGGTGGCGTGGGATTGTGGAGGGCGGGAGCAGCCCGGTTAACCCCTGGTGTTGGAGGACAGCTGCGGAGTTGTTGGGCCGGCTGGCGGCTGCACGCTATAAATTCTCTCTAAAGAGGGTTCACTTTTGATTTTAATGGCTGCAGTAAATTTACAGCACCCTGGCCTGCTGAAAGGGAAAGAAGGGGTTGTTTTTAAAGGCTCCCTCGCCCTCTCCAGAACGTCCGTTTCTTTCCCCGTTTTCTCTCCTTCCTGCGGAAGAAAGGCGGTGGAGTGTTCTCCACCACGTCTCTTGTGGCCTGCGTTTACCTGTAGTCAGCTTGTGTGGAAAGCGTATGAAAACATCCTGAAAGAAATGAGCAAAAAACGCCGCAAAACAATTCATATTTTGCCGACGCGCAGGAATAACGGCTTCATTGTGTCCCAGAGAGGAACGCTGGCCACGCTGGCCCCGGTTCCAACCCGCTCTGTGACATGTTCCTTGACGTGTTCCTCAGAGCAGAGAGAAAATGGAGTTTGCGGATGCAGAGCGTAAAAGCGGCCTTCTCGTCTCCCTGCAGGTGCTGTTTGCGTTGAACCAGACGCTGCTGCAGCACGAGGGGGTGCGAGCAGGCAGCCTGCAGGGCTCCTACACCACCGAGGACCTCATCACCCACTACAACTGCGGGGACCTCAGCGCCATCATCTTCAACCATGACACCTCACAGGTGGGTCTGCGCTTTTAGATTTTGAATGACTGCTTTCTTTGGCCTCTTTAAGAGCCTATTTTGTTCCGTAAAATGAGTAGAAACGGGTCGCCAAGCATAATACAAATGATCTAATAATTGTACTTTGCCAAAGAATCCCTCATTTTTTTATATTATCTCCCATATTTTCCTACTTACAAACTTGTATGTGATCCAAAAACAACCTGCAGCAATGTCTTGCTGCCTCCGTGCTCACAACCGACTCTTTCTCAAGAACGCTTTCACCAGACTTCGCGCGACGGCAATCGCGCGTTGCGTTTTTTTTCGCGAGGCGGTGAGTAACAACAAGCTGCACAAATTGAAAAATGCTTCTGCGATGACGCGGCTATCGCTTGTGAACGTGGGATTATTAGCGCAGCTCAGACAGACATCCAGCAGATCTCTACACAGCACATAGCCTCAAATCGCTCATATCGCTCCTTTGAATGTCCATCGCAGTTTAACCCCAGGCCACCTCCTGCCCCCCGTCTTTTGGTCCCAGCAAGAATCTCTCACTCAGCGATGGTCTTGATCTGAAAATCACCAACGAAAGAAATATTCGCTACTTTGGTGCCAAACTGAATTCTGCTACTACTCCTTATTATAATTTACATAATACAGTAAATACAGACTTTACAGGGACAACCAAGAGAAGCCGTTTCTGTTGTGTTGAAATTTAATCTTTATCATTTTTTGGTTTGGGTTTTCTTGGACAAAAAGAATGGTGAAGTTTCGGATATTATGAAATAGTCCCACAAAATACCAGCTACTTGCCGTCTTGGTCCAAAAACTGTAATTCTATTCAACATGCCGAACCGGTCAGACCCCCGACGGGAGCTGGCGGCCCCCCCTCACACCCACTTGTCTGCCAGCACGCTCTCGTCACCTCAGACTTTTAGGCTTGCACATCAATTCCGCAAAACTGCACATTGCCATCTTAATCCCTTCCCAGCCTCAGGTTACTTGATAGTCTGGCACTTTATTATCCCTGGACTCAGCTGTAAATACGCCGCGTGACCTCCTCTAACTTTGCGTCTCCTAACATAGCCTCTGCTCCTGCAGAGACGGCCTCCTCATCGGCCTTCACACGCCGCCCTCCTCATAAGTCACTTGTCAACCTCCCTCACGGATCCTGGAGTGTCATTAAACTGACTCAGTGCTGCACGGCGGAGACTCGGCATCGCTGTCTTGTTAGCCTTATGTAGCATGTAGCTTCACCCGCAGGTCGCAGCTACATGCGTCTCCTGCATGAGTGCTTTAAATCATACCAGTTTGCCTCGTGGTCCTCATCGCCACAATCACACGCATCAACATCTCCCAGCACATGCTAGAGCAATCAGGCGCCCGACTGTGGTGCCATGTGGCCGGCTGATCTAAAGCAGGTGTGCGTGTGTGTGTGTGCGTGAGATTGCGTTCGTGTTTGAACCTAAAACCATAAAAAAGCAGGTGTTTTTCGGTAGATTGGACCAAACCGAGCCCCCCTGATGCTGCAACCCCGTTTCAATCCCCATCATATATTAGAAAGAGGCTGATGATGCGCCGCAGGACACAGAAGTCACGTCAAAGGTAGACAGAGAAATAGGTTTTGTGTAACATTTTTTTTTTCTTCGAAGACACCAATAGAAGAAGCAACTTCAAAGGATTGCAAAATATTGCGATTGAATAGTTCACTTGAAAATTGCTGCAGTTGTAGCACCAAGATGAAAGTTGAAAAGGAGAGGACAAGGGAAATGAAAGGACAAGAAGGGAAAGATAAGATAAGAGAACGGAAGGACTTCAAAGAGCCGAACCATGAAGAATAAATAGAAGACAGTGAATTGCGGACCGGACAGACAAACTGCGAATGAGTGGGAGAGGGAAGGGAGGAAATACTTCGCTGTCACTCCACATTTCCTGTCCAGCTAATGGCTTTTCCTGTGATACGTTATCTGCGCTTACCGCTACACTCCCACCTTGACCCGTCTCCGACCGAACACTTTTTGGACGTCGTCATGAAACACTCACTCCGTCCTCGCTCGTTTAGAGCAGTGATGGAGCTCGCTTTTTTTTTCCTCTTTAGCTCGGCTTCATTTTACTCCTCCATCATGAGGTTCTGTCAATCCGAAGGAAACCCGGGTCATGCACTCTGAAACAGCACAGACGGGCAATACAAGCTGTCGGGCTGCAGATACCCCAGTGACTCCCCCCATCACTGAGGATTTAATGTAGAGATAAGTGAGCATTGCGGCGTTCTTGTAATTAACAGAATTTTGAGATCTGGAGCAACTGTAAAGCAGAAAAAAAAGCTTGACAAATTCTTTTATTCCACGACAAAATGATGCCATCCTACACACTGCTTATTACGGCCTTCACGCATTTGATGAATGAGATAAAATGCGAACCATGTTTCCTCATTTTACCACAAAGAACACATCAACGGTCGGGTGTACAAACATAACTAGCGGCGGCAATTTTATTCGGAGGCGCATTCGTCTCCTATGGCAAAACATGGCGTCTGCATTACCCACGATGCCACTTTACTAACACTGTAAAGTCTTCAACCCCAACGCTGACTCAAGTGACATCACTCGAGGGCAATACATCACTCGCAGGCCTCATGCAGCTTCATGATTGATGCAACATTCTCCAATTGTGCTCCCCCTCCCAAAAAAAACCTGTAAACGAAAGTATCTGTTCACCTTCAATCCACATCCCAAATGAAATATATAAACATGCGGTGCAGGTTTGAATTAGAACCTTCCAACCTTTATGTGAAACAGACTGTGAGAAGGGACTGAGAGACAATCCGCCAGATGAATGGATGCACTTTGTTCACATGTGGTACAATAAATACCCCCCCCCCCCCCCCCACACATAATTTAGCTGCTGCGACCGTGTGTTTGCATGTGCGCAGTCATTGTCACACTCAAATGCATTTACGGATCAAACACATCTGCAGAGAAGAGAAGTGACGCGAGGGAAAGGACGGGAGCCGAGATCCCACAGGAATATTACCGGGAAGAGGAGCCTCGCTCACAGTTCAGTTAACGTCCAAAATAGGAAATGACAACACACAAGAATTGCGGCACCACAATGGTAAAAACAGCCAAGTCAAGAGAAGACATTTAAAACCAAATGAAACGTACTCTGGCGTATTGGGATTCCACCTATCACTGATGTGTCAGACTTTATTGCATAAATATATCAAGAAAGAGAAAAGAGCCAGAAAAGCCCAATGATACTGGGACAGGAAGTGGAATAAGTGAAAACGGACAGTGTGTGTCTGTGAGTTGGAAAGATCCCCCCCCGCCCCCCCGCCCTCCTCCAAAGTGCCTCATCCTCACAGATTAACAGCCTGTTGAATCCACCGATGCAGCCAAGTGTGGCGCAGAGCCAGCGCGCTCTGCCTCCGCCTGCCCGGCTCTTAATAAATCCCGCAGCAATTAATCACACATTCACGCGCTGGCGCTGCACGTGCCTTCGTTCGGAGCCCCAGCTGAGACGCACACGTTACGCGAACGACACATCAGCGATCGGCGTCACATACAAAAATGTGGCACGACGGCCCTCCTCCCTTCCTCTCCTTCATTTATTGATGCTTTTCTCATTTTAAAAGGTCATCGACTGCATCTGTCAAGCTCATCGCGTCACACACACACACACACACACACTCCCGGCTGCCAGGTTGTCACCAACACCGTGCTCTTCTTTCTTCCCTCTCATATATTGTTGTATTTTTACGTCCCCCTCTCAATGCCTTCAACACCAGTCATTTCTTCTCCTTGTGTTTGACGTGTGCTTGAGATGATTCATGTGCGTTTCATCCTCCCGTGGATTTTTCATTACGAATGTTTTTATAATTAAAGTTCTTCCCTTTGCCTTTCTCACTTCCTCAGCTGCCCCACTTCATCAACAGCTCTCTGCCCGCCCACGACCGCACGATGGCCCTGCAGATCGACAGCTACTTCCGCCGGGAGCTCATCTACAAGCGCAACGAGCGGATGGCTCGCCGCGTGTCCGACCTGCTGCAGAGGAATCCCAACCAGACGTACTTTTTCGCCTTTGGTGCAGGTGAGGAAGCCTTCAGACGCTGCTCGGGATGAGGTGCAGGTTCAGTTTCCCGTCCTGAGCCGGTTCAAAAGGGCTAAACCTTTGTTTAACGTCTCTTCAAACTGCAATCATGGCAGCAACTCCATCGTGCATCTCTATTTTCACATTAAATGAGGTCTTTCCAAATACATTATGATTGTAGCCGAGTGTGTGTGTTGGCATGCGATTGTGAAGTGTAAGAGAGGTCGGTTTAGCTTTGGTCTCAAACGCTGATTCTGTCAACACCGATGTGTGTTTATGGCCAACAATTCTCTATTTTATGTTTGAAAGCCAAGCTGGAGAAAAAGGAGGAAAATAATAGTGTTCAATGGTTCCCAGATCTCTGGCACGGAAAACTGTATCTTCTTAACCCCACACACACACACACACACACACACACACACACACACACACACACACACACACACAGAAGTCTCAATTACAGCCGGCTCACAACTCAGAAATCAAGAAACCGTGAGCTGTTTGTTTCAATTAGCATTCCTGGCTAATGTTGCTAATAGTTCCTGAATAGCACAGTGTGTCCTGAGGGAAGTGTGTGTGCGTGTATACATATAAGTGTGTTTGCCCACACAAACAGGGGGTGGGTGTCTGTTTACTGTATGACTGTGCGTCTCTTCATGGTTGGTAATGCCTCTGAGTGTGTGTGTGTGTGTGTGGTGTGTGTGTGTGTGTGCGCGCCATATTGCGTGATAAATGCTGGATGCCTTGTTCCCAGTTCTTGCTCCCTCAGATCTTTGTACTGTTTGCACAAGGCTGCTGTTGCACCATCCAGCTGCTACGTATGTGTGTGTGTGTGTGTGTGTGTGTGTGTGTGTGCGCGCACATGCATACATTTACGCTAAAAGCACACATATGAACTACATGTATATGATGGAGGAGTGAAATAAGTGTTCCTCAGAAGTGCGCGTAGATGAAGAAATACGGACCGATGATGCGTTCCTCTCCTGTTCAAACGTTGTCAATGAAAACAAAGATACGTGTGAACTCCAGAAGGCAAACGAACGCAGTCAAACTCCTTAGGCTAAAAAAAAGGAGCGGGGAGTAGCAAGAAACTAAAAAGACAAACACAGATTCTTACATAAGTTATTAGGAATGTTTCATACTTGCACAACTGACATCATAAGATATGACTCTATTTTTTAAGGCAATCCGTTGGGAAATTTTTTTTGGGCTTCTGTCAAAAGCAAACTGAAAATTCCGATGATCAGACACCACACAAACGCACATACAGATCACGAATATAATACACTAATCAGACAAAGTCAAAGCTTTGAGGCGGCACTTACCATGTAGATATAACTGGCTCATGATCATTCTTCGTGTGATTAAACACTATAGGAAAATATAATGATCAACATGATGTTTCCCTATGATTTTACACACTGTTCCTTTAAATACAAATTCGTTTCATTCTCTAAATACAACAGTGCATGTGTGGATCTGTGGATAAATATGTGACCGTGTTCGTGGCTGAGCATCAGACATTGTCAGCTCACATCAGGCAAACTTCTGACAGTTCCTTGCAAAGCATTTTAACTTTCAATAGTCAGTGTTGTGATTTTATGCAAAAGCATTAAAAATCAACGCCCATAAAACTGACATCTACATGTACATTGGTCACCCGTTTTGCCTCGCGAGACGGGCGGATTTGCCTTCTAAAATCTCTTCTAATGGAGCCTCGTGTTTTCCAGATTGCCCGTCAGAACGGCAGCTATGTGTCGGCACCCCAGCGCGTTCTACCTGCCCGGGTAGAGCGGAGGTGAACATGTGTGTGTGTGGGGTCACCTACGGGCTGCTGCGCTGCGTGGAGGCGAACTGACAGGCTGGTGTGAAGTGATGGGAACCACCACAGTTCCCGGCTCAGGCAACGGGGGCCATAAACTAGCAGAGAAAGTACTCGGGCAGCACGTTAGCTCAATCTTTGCTCCCACAATCTGCATGTAGTTAAGGGTCTGATTTACTACGACTGAGGCTAATTACGCGACTCGTTTCTATGGGTCGCCCTCCAGGTTCATTCAAGGAGAACTTTGAAGTTATGGAAAGAATTCAAAAACTTGTTAGGATATCATAAAGTATTACTTCATAATTTTACAAATAACACTTAAAAAATGTAATGAGTAAAACCGTCAACTGCAAAAAAAAAAAGTTCAAACCGTACGACCACGCACTTAAAACTAATTTATTGCAGATCTACCATGCGGGTCATTAAAACTGAAGCCCCTAACGTTTCCTGAATAAACCGGCACAAATGTTCTCCTACTAGTATTCGCTGCTAGTGAATCCAGCTTAACATCTTCCCGCCGCTCTCGTCACGTCTCCTTCTGCACCAGTAATTCTGATCTTTCCTAAATGCACGTAATGCGTTTTTTTTATAAGTAATAAAACCAGCCTTGGGTGACACATTGGGCCTCCGAGGTGTTTTGTCCGCTGACGCACACGTCTCTAGATGCAGATGTACCGCAAAACAAGATGAAAAGAGGACCTCGTAAATGAGCCATAAATAGTCCCTCCCATGCTATAAGCACAAAGCTTCCTTTCTCTCATCTCTTATTTCGGACTTTAAGACGCTGACTCATCCCTTAACAGACCTGTAACTGTCCCTGCTGGTCCCCGTTTCCCATTGGCCGTAACCAGCCGTGACATTTTACCATCCAACGATGCCAACGCGTATTGAGCGACGGCGGTTCGGCCTCCCAGAAATCCCACCGCGTGGTCCGGCTCGTTCCGTGAAAGGATTCCTGCTGGCGGCCCGATAACCATCCGACCACATTGTGAGCGATGAAGAGAAATAAAGACGGCCGCAGGTGTGAAGGTTAAGATTGTGAAAATGTCTTTTTGGAATAAGTACAGCCCGGGGAGACATAAAAACAGCCATTTTCAGGCCAAATGTGGGCGTGCGCTAATCACATAAAATCCAATCTTTATGGTCAGATCTGAAAAATCCCATTGAAATGACGTGCGTGACTGCAGGCGGCTCAGCACACACGGCTGATCGTATGAAATAGAATAGTCGTACCTTTTGATCCCTCTGTTACTAGAATTGTGTCCAACTTTGCCTGCGTCAAGTTTTGTGTTTGTCGGGTTGGATTTCTGCGGTACAACGCATAAATATTAACGGCCCCTCTAGCTGCCTTTACCTATGACCCCTGACCTCCAACCCGAACCATGTTCTGAGCGCAGAAGGAAAAAAAGGGGCTGTCGGGAAAGAGCCGGGGCAGCGGATCGGGTCGAGGCCCTCTAGAGGTATCGATGTCGAAGTCCGTCCAGGACTTCATGTTCACTGGATAATTAACCGCTACGACGTGTGTGCGTCTGGTTCAGGCTGGAAATCCATCTCTGCTCAGCTCAGCACCTTTCCTCTCGCTGCACACCTACACCTTCCTGCAGCATAAGTACTCGTGTGCGCAAAATGTATGCTTTTGTACTAAAGCAGTTTCCTTCTCTTCTTCCTCCATCCTGCACACATATGTTGTAACAGACATTCTTTACTTTCTTCACTTTCACCAACAGGTTATTAATGCAAATTACAGACGTAAAAAGAGGTCCAGCAGGCATAAGCTGAATTACCCCAGGCGGTACAGAGGAGACTGAGGGAGCAGTATTACTCTCTCACTGCTCGGCCGAGGATTTATGATGTTGATCCACAGAAGCAACTCGGTCAACTTGAGTCTCTCGGCCTTTCAGTTGTGTATCACATACCGATGCTGAATACATTTGGAACGAGAGAACATTACCAGGAGTCAAAGACACATGAGTGAAACTCTACTAGTCTGTTTTTTTTTTTACATGACTGAAATTGACATCATCTTTAAGATGTTGCTTGCCGTCATGAAGCTCGCCACTTAATTCTGCTGCTCTATTCTCATTTACTATTGCTTCTCAATTTTGGTTTATAGTTTTATACCACAAGTTGTGCTCCATTAGCCTTGCGACAAACACAAAATCAAGGTAGTGAGGAATTATTTTTATACAGAATGATATTAGTCCTCTGAGACCTTGTTTGGATATTTGGCTAAATAGTCTTTCAAGTATAAAGCTACAGCTGATAAGCTAGCAGCAAGTAAGCTAGCTTAGTTTAAAGACCGGAAATGAGTAAAATCTCAACTGAATCCACCTTAGCATGAGGCTAGTGCTGCTATGGGTCACTGCTTCCCATTGAAGAGAATGACAGAGCAGCACCAGATGATAGCAATGAGGAGGCATGCTTCCAGACACGGTGTACACACACTAGACACTTGTTTTGTTGCTATTGTAAACAGATACAAGCCTCAATGGGATTTATTTTCCATCACTGCCTCGGCTAAATATGCATTCTTGATTGCTGCCTCCCCCCCTCTCTCTCTTAATCACGGGTGGACAACAAACATACACTGACATTTTCATACAGGATCACAGAACACACAGAGTTATGGTCGCTGAAGGGCGGAGGACCGCTGCGAGGCGGCGCGCTGTTGGAGCTCCGTGGTGTGCTTCAGCAGGTTTTCATTTGCCAGTTCCTTGGCTGCCGCTGCCCGGCCTTATTGAAAACATCCCATGGAATTTCCTGACACTGCCGCGGCCTAGACACCGCTTCACGCACACGCACACACAGATTTCTCTCACCAAAAAGAAGTTGTTTGCAAGTTGCTATGCAGGCCAGTAACAGCCCAGCGCAGAGTGGGTCCGTGTGTAGGCCGAGCGGACCCGTGTGTAGACCGAACGGACCCGTGTGTAGACCGAACGGACCCGTGTGTAGACCGAGCGGACCCGTGTGGAGGCCGAACGGACCCGTGTGTAGACCGAACGGACCCGTGTGTAGACCGAACGGACCCGTGTGTAGACCGAGCGGACCCGTGTGTAGACCGAGCGGACCCGTGTGTAGACCGAGCGGACCCGTGTGTAGACCGAGCGCCGTGTGGAGGCCGAGCGGTGTGCGGTGTTGAAGTGATGACTGAAGGAGAGAGACGGCTTGCCGTGCATGT